GAAGAGTAGCTCGTTAATTATTGTACTATGTAAGCATCCTTAAGACATCCTCCCTAAGGTATCTGTTTTCCCCTGTTTCTCTACGTGCAAGCCCCAGCCTCACCTCATGGTGGGTGGGGGGGGCAGAGTGTGTATAAAATAAACTATTGCTGCCTTGAAAGGCAGACAGATTTCTCTACCCTCAAGAGAGCTGTCTCGTGTGATTCCTTCACATTTTAGTCATTTTAGCTTCTAGGGACAGTTCAGCCTTGATTTGATCAAGAATCTACTTATTTGTCTTTTTGGTGGTCCATGGTATTCTTAAAACTCTCCTCCAACACCACATTTCAAAGGAATCTACTTTCTTCCTGTTAGCTTTCTTCATTGTCCAACTTTCACTCTCATACATAGTAATAGGGAATACTATGGCATGAATTAACTTGATCTTGTCACCAGTGACATATCCTTACACTTAAGAATCTTTTCTAGCTCCTTCATGGCTGTCCTTCCCAGTCTCAATCTCCTTCTAATTTCTTGGGTGCAGTCTACTACAGTCTAGGTAAAGTGTGACCAGTCAGACTCATTTTATGGCTTATATTTGAAAATCTGTATTTTGTGTTATGATGTGTCTTTTGCTTTGCTTTTTGCCCACCTCTTTTTGAACCCAACCACACTTTTCCTTTAAAAAATAAACTTCCTTTTATAAATACTTTTTTGGATTTGTTTCAGTACAGTATATTTCTCTTAATCTCTTCCTACATGCTAGATTGTATAGATTAGAGGTTCCCAAATGTATTTGGCCTACCGCCCCATTTTCAGAAAAAAAATTACTCAGTGCCCCCCTGGAAATCCACCTTCAAGAAGTGGACAAAAAGATGCAGTTTGTGGATCTGCACCTGGATCATTCCAGTTTGGGAACCAGTGGAGATGTTACACAGTATTCCATAAGGTATTTTCCAGGTTTTACACTCTGTCAGTCCTTTATTGATCTAGTACCACACTACAAGGAATCCTAATTGGTGGTCAGTTTAGATATTCTCAGAGGATTCCCTGAGTAATGGCAGCCATTACCAGGTTCTTTCCAGGGAACCCTTACTCTAAGAGAGTTTTTCAACAAGGAAAGGCACCTTTCCCTCCTTTCCTTCCATCACAAATTTCAAAGGCAAATCTAGGATAAGACTAGAGTAGCAACAGACATAGCCTTTTTCACAGTTGGATTAATCTTAACAATGGTTAGCCAACACAGCAATTAATTGTGATTATGACTGCTGAAAGCAACATGAACGGACAACTATTGAGGGGCAAGAAGGGTGTGATACTGCAGCCCACTTCTGAATGCCTAATCCACAGATAGGCAATAGGGATGTGTACCAACCTATTCTGTACTCACATGTTCCAAAAAGTATGGTTGCGTGTGAGTGGAAGGTACTTGCAGTTCTTGCTCACCTCCCTCCCCCACTAGCAAGACCCTGAAAAGCTGATGCTGAAGTTATGGGAGTCTTATGGAACTGGGTGAAATCCCTCCTGCTTCCCACTGCTGCCAGTAGAGCCTGCTGTGCCATTAGGAGGTCTGCCGACAGAAGACAAATTTGACCAGATTTCACCCTTGCCATTGTAGCCCCTTCCCCACATACCATGTTCTGTTTTTTGCCTATGAGGCTCCTCAGATCCACGTCATCAGTTCATCAAGGGTCTATGGGGACTACTAGGGAAAGGGAAGGCACCTGCATCTACAAGTGCCTTCTGCTCATGGTTTGTAGGATCAAATCCTATGTGTGTGTATGTCAGAAGGACTGGGATATAAAGATAGGTCCAGATGGTCAGCCATGTTGGTCGGAAGCAGAAGAACAAATTTAGGATCTAGTGGCACCTTTAAGATCAACAAAGGTTTATTCAAGGTATGAGCTTTCGTGCACATGCACACTTTATCAAATAATAAATAGATAAATGATAAAGTGTGCATGCACACAAAAGCTCATACCTTGAATAAACCTTGGTTGGTCTTAAAGGTGCCACTGGGATATAAAGACTCAGAGATCTCTATTCCTACTCGTATCTGATGAAGACAGCTTTAATTCTTGAAAGTGTATACTCCAAAAATCTTGTTGGTCTCTAAAGGCTTACAGAACTCCAATCTAAGTTTAAGGATGTGTTGCTGGCAACCAAGATCAATATAATTCATACTGTAGTATTTCCCATTACTGTGTATGGGTGTGAAAGTTGGACAATGAAGAAAGCTGGTAGGAAGAAATGATGTGTTCTAACAGGGGTCATTTTGTAGAAAAAGAGCTGCAGGAGCTCATTAGCATGGTATGCTAATGAGGTACTAGGCTATTAGCATAATAGCTCATTAGCATATGCCATGCCCCCTGACATCACCAGAAGTGATGTCAGAAGGGGAAGCAAAAAGGAGGGGGAAGGCATCTTCAAAAGCCTCCCCCTTCCCTTCCCCAGCCGGACTGCGGGGTGGGGGGAAGCAAAGACAGAAGGGGTTTAAAGTTTAAACCCCTTCTCACTAGAGTTGGACCGCAGAAGGAGGAAAGGAGAGAGAGAGAGTAGAGAGAAAAAAAGAAGGAAGGAAAGAGGGAAAGGAAGAGAAGGAAAGAAGGAAGGAAAGAGGGGATAAAAAGAGGGAAAGAAAGAGAAGGAAAGAAGGGAAAGAAAGAACGAGAAGGGAAGAAAGGAAAGAGGAAAAGGAGGAAGAGATAGAGAGATAGAGAGATAGAGAGATAGAGAGATAGAGAGATAGAGAGAGAGAGAGAGAGAGAGAGAGAGAGAGAGAGA